TTTTGAACTGAACTTAGTAAACTATAAAAAAATATATGTTATCTATTGTAAGCACTTAAAAATAACAAATGAGTACATACTTCTGCAGTGACAGCTGGCCCACCAGTGCGTATGAGAAACATTTAAATAATGCACATCATCAAATTTTCGGTTAACAATACGCTTTTGACAATGTATACTATATATACATTTATATTCTTCCACAATAAAAAATTTTTTATATTCAATAATAAAATATATTAAAAAGAAAGAAAAATATCCAGACATATATGGTAAATATTAATTTTATTTAAAACTTACACTTTTATTTTTTTTTTTTGTATAATTTAAAATATTACTAAAGTTAGTGAATTGTGGTAAGCGATTATATATAGGTTATTTTGTATTTAAATTGTCATTTAAACTGTCCGCGCTGAATTTTTTTAGCACTTTTTTTGTTAAGTTGGTAGCACTGTCCTTAATTACTATACCAAAAATGAGCGCTATCTATCGACCAGTTTGTTTGCAGCAGCTGTTGAAATCAGTCGACCTCAGTAGAGTTTTGCGATATTTTACTATGGAAAAAAATATGGAACAAAGAATTTACATCAAATTTTGTATTTCGAAACAAATTTCGTGTGCGGAATCGTTGCGAATGTTAAAAAAGGCTTATGGTGAATCCATTCTATCGAAAACCCAAGTCTACGACTGGTACAAAGCTTTTAAGGATGGTTGAGAAACCGTCGAAGACATGCCTCGTTTCAGTCGTCCTTCGACATCTATCATTGACGATAACATCAAAAAAGTAAGGGAATCGAAATTGCTCGAAAATTGTCATGTGAGTGTTAGAGAGATAGTACGTAAGCTAAACATCAGCTGTGAAGCAGCTCGTTTGATTTTTACCACTAATTTGGGCATTAGACGCGTCAATGCTCGGCTTGTTCAAAAGCTGAATTTTTGCAACGATTTTAAGACCAATATCTGAGTTCGCCTATAATTGTCTTCGTGACTTGGTACCCATAAATATCAACCTAATTGTGAGTTTGTCGGATACCATCGCAGAGAAGTCAAAGTTTGCTTCTCTATTTTGATTAACAAATTTTAACTATGAGTCTGTAGTCCTGAAAAAAGAAGCTCGTCATCGAAGTAGCTTTAAAATATTGAAAAAAGCTATTCTTCCAAGGGCTTTCGGTGTATTTAAAAGTTACTCATATTTACGTACCATCAAGAAAAAGGCGAAATATGCTCTGAATTGTAATTTGTCTTTTTCTTCGCAAACAACTAATTTAGGCGAAACCTAATACCAAATTAGGTTATAATACGCACGTATAAAAGCAATTATAACTTTGGCATATTTATAGCAAAACCATAATTAGAATTTCAATTTTATTTCGGTTTTCGACAACCAGAAAATGACACATTTGACATCTATTAAGATTGACATGAATAAATGAAACCACAAGCGGGTCAGAAAAGAAATGCGAAGACATAGCTTTCAATATCATAATTACATACTTTTGTTGTTGTTGGTCAAATGTTAATTGCCAAATCATTTCACTCAATTAGTTGTGACTAAAATTGTGCGCAGAAACCAAAATTTTTAATCATAACGTTTCAGTCAAAATTTATACATATATGAGGTTTGTAGTTATAATTCCAAAATTTATTTATGTCAAATATTTGTTGATATGTGTAGAGGCAAATAAATGGTTCAATGAACAAAATTAATAAATAATTGCATATACTTAAATATCCACATATATATTTGTATATATATCATAGACATGCGATATAATTAAAAACTTATTATAAATAAAATATATATTACTAAAGTGGTGTATGCATACTGTAGAAAAGTTTATTCTATCAGTTCACCCATGAAAATTTATAAGAATTGTTTAATGGTAGAAAAAAGTTTTTAACGGACTGTTTTCATCAGCGCTTACAAAAGGGAAATTTAGGGGGTTACAAATCCTTTTGTGAATTTAAAAAAATCAATTTTTTTTTGATATAGATCGAATGGTATACATATATATATATAATTGTGTATATTCTCCAAAAATTAATTTGGCAAATAGTTTTAGGGATATGAGCGTATTTGTAAGAATTTTTTAATAAAATCGGCTTCCAAAATTTTAAAGGCTTTTTTCAGAATCGATGAAGAAAATTGAAAGTAATGAACAAACTAATATTTATAATTTTTGATAATACGTATTTCGATTTTTTAAGCCACTCGGAAACGCAAATTTTGTCTACCAAAACGGCTTTAATGGGAAGTCGCCATTTTATGAAAAATCAAATTATGACTAGTGCTTCGATCATTACTTGCATTCATCTATAAAAATAGTAATATTTTTTAGGTTTTTGAATTTGAGATAATTTTAAGCAGAAAAAAAATCATCCTCACTGCCCGACACTACGGGATGAAGGAAATCCAAAATTTTTCAAAATGAATCACCGTTTATGAAAATAGATTAAATTTTTTAAATGTAAATTATTTTTATTAATTTATTAAAAAAAATGGCTCGTCAAGAAAAATTTACAAAACAACGCGTTTTTTCTGACATGCGAGTAGATTAAAGCTTTATAATAAACTATGATGTTTTGCAACCAAAAGCGGGAGAGAGAAAAAGAAACCAGTATAACCAATGCAAGAGAGTATGTGGATACAACAAAGTATTACAATATTGTACTTTATCGTTTTGTTTATGTGTGTTGTTTGTTCGATTCGCTACTCCCTAAAATTGTTTGGTGAAAAACCAGAGCTACTGAAAAAAGGTTTAAAAAAAAAAAACAGCGTCTTAGTGAATCGTCAACTTGTTTGATTTGAGTTAACAATTGACTCATTATAAGTTAAGATATAACATTTTCATATAATCTTTTTGGGTAACCCTCGTACACAGAAGTATTTTACAACTACAAATTTATGTTAATGTGCGAGCATAATAACTCTAATAGTAAATTAAATTTTGTACTCAAGTGTCAATTAGTCTGTGCTTTCAATTAAGTGGCAAAGTTCAGACTGCCAATATATTGAAGCATATCTTAGAAATCAAGAAATTAACACCAATACATAATTTAGGATATAAGTTAACAATTTGTCAAGAATGAACGTTACAAAAGTAAGTTAAAATCACAAATTGTAGCACACAAATTGCTACAATTATTGGTTAAACATCATTAGCCAATTTGTATGTATTCGTATGTCCAATAGCTATTCAAGCGCAATAAGTAGTTCGAATATTGGAAAATTGTCATGTGACAAAATTTAATTTTGTAAAATTAATTGATAGTTTATTCCATTGAATTGTGTCATTGTCGGTTCGCTTCAGTGGGCAACTGAAATCGCGTTGCATGCAATAAGCGAGCAAAGTATATGGCAACAATGTTATTTGCAACTTTTTAGTCACATTTATTTGGCATGTTCATTTAAATGAACTGCAATGCGTTGTTATTAACAGCAAATTTGTGAAATTGGAAATATAATATCAGTGCAAAAAATATATATAGCTGTATGCAGGTATGCGTATACACTTTTGTAATCATTTTTTGTATTTTGTATCACAAAATTTATTTGCATTGTAATCCAGTCATTTGAAACCGAAATAGTGCGAATTAGAGTTATATTGTCAAATACTTTGTAAGTAAATGGAGTAAATCTTCAATTATATTAAGTGATTTGTTGACAGAAATCAAGTATTCGAAAAAGCTGGCATAAAGACACTATGTTTACCAGGCGCATAATACACCAGTTTCAAAAATGTTAATTAACTTTGACTATTAAAACGTAAATTGACTTATCGCCAGTTCTGTTCAAACTAACTTAATTTTTTAATCATTACTTTTAGACAATTAATATTACATCTTGATTTTTCAGTTATAAATTCTTAATTTTAGTTTTGAAACGATTTTGTTTGAGGATAATAACGAGTGTTTTTGTAGACGTGTGGTTTTCAATGAGGCCATACTTTTTTCGGAGTTAGTCCTTTTGACAGCTGTTACTTGATTTATACTCAGTTTGCGGTGCCATTTCATAATAAACTGACTTGCTTCCGAACAACGTTAGGAAATCGTGCGAACCCTAAATAATAATGGCCCAGCAGCGTAGATTGTTTAGACACCGTTATATCCTCAATTCTCAAAAATTCAATATTTGGTGTGCTCTATGGGCAGAGCGAGTCGATGATCCATATATCTTCAACGAACGCTATAGAGCCATGATTAATGACTTTATTGTGCCTGAATGGGAGGATGTTGATGCGGAAGACTTTTGTTTAAAATAAGATGACGCTACATGCCATACAGGCAACGAAACAATCAATTCATTGAAGGAAATTTTCGGTGAGTGCATTATGTCGCCCTATGACGCGCCTGAGGTGTTGCTTTCAAGATCGTGCGAGTTAACATCAATGGACTATTTTTTGTAAGGTTATGTGAAGTCGCTTTTCTCTTGCATTTGCTGCAAGTATAGCTGAAATAGTAACACATTTTTCCACATGTCTACATAAAACACCCTTTACAATATTCGGCAGTTTAGTATCTTTTTAGTTTTAGAACTTATGATAATTGATTCTCCGTAAAAATTACGGTTATAACAGAATTAAGAAAGGGTTCGTCTTGAAATAATGGATTCCCACAGTATTGTGAATTTTTTTTTTTTACTGAATTGATAAAAAAATTTTGGTTTAAGTTTTGACTAAGAAAATGTATAGTTTCATCAAGACTTCATGATTTTTATACAATTTATTAATTTATGGGCAGATGAGCGCACGGAAAGACAAGCACCCAGAAAGCAATGTTATTCTGATCATTTTCATATATATAAGATTAAGATTTTATACACAACCGTTAGATGAAAAAAAATACTGTATATTTATATAATTACTAACTCGATAAACATTTGAAAAGAAATGACTACATTTTGGTGGTTGTCCTCATCACCAATAATATAAAATAACCCCCTTCAAATTCCTATTAACAATTAACGTAAATTCTTTATTAAATTCGGTTTTTGTACTTACAGTTTTCACTTGTAAATATTATTTGAAGTATTAGCTGTTATGTAGCAGGGGCTCTGGAGGATTTCGAAGGTATACGCTGATCTTCTGTAAATGTATTTAAAAAAATATTATTGTATTTTATATCATATAACTATTATAACGTAATTGTAATGTGAAAATAGGTTATGTAAATATTTGGTTATTAAAAATTATTAATTTTAATTTCAGCATTTTGCTAAGATTGGTTTTATTCATTACTAATCAGGTAATGCCACAGCGGTTATTAATTATCATAGAATCAAATAGATGGTAATGCAGATCAGCTACAAATTGGAGAAGCTTTAAACCGCTCCTTGAGAACTTATCACCCTTGGAACAACGAAAAATAAAATCTTAATACAATAGATGGCGTCAGAGTAGAATTATTATCAAACACCGTATTTACTATTTTTCGATTTGGCTCAAATTCGAGATATATATAATACGTATACAGCATTGGCAAATGAATTAGACAATCGCTTAAAAAGAACTAGTCTCGCTTAATGCTGTCAGGCTTAAATTATAAAATATCTAGTCGACGAAATCCATAAGTAATTTTTATTCAAATTAAAAACGCTAGAACTGTTATATATTTATCTATGTACATCACTAAGATTACTAAGTTTGTTATAAATATTCAATATTAGGGTGGAGCGAAAAAAAATGTTTTTTGCTTAGCCTAAGGGTAAAATTTGTAGATAATAAAAAAAAAAATTTTTTGGAAAAAAAAAATTTTAACATCTAGAGGCTCAGTTTTAAAGTAAATTTTCCAGTTAAAATTTTTATTTCGTAAAAAATTTTTTGATAAGTGTTCTAGAAGCTGTGGAGAGTCCTCTTTCTGGCCAATTAAAATTTATCAACTTAAACAATTTTTTGTGATCATTATTGGAGTTGTAGAAAAAGTCCTAAATGACCACATGCTTTCCTTAAGCGTTAAAATAAATTTTGAGTCAAAACCGTCAAATTCGGTAATTTTTATATAAATGTGAAGAGTTTAAACCAAAAAAAAATTAAACACGAAATTTACATTAAAAGTGACTGGGCGGCCTCTTGATGTTAAAAAACTTTTTTGTCAAAAACTTTATTTATTTATAATCTACAAATTTTACCCTCAGGCTAAGAAAAAAAAAAAATTTTTTTAGTTTGAAGTAAAAATTATGATTTGACAATTTAAGTTTGGTCTTCATAATCTAATCATCGAGACTGCCGGGCATATCTCGACTTATGAAATTTAAACTGGTAGCGTCAGATCTAAATTTGGAAAATGTAAAGATTAAAATACATAAACCATCAACTAGCAGGAATACATTCAGGAATTCCCAATTTCTTAGAGATTTCGAATTGTATTTAGCATTCTTGGAAAATATTAAAACAGCGGAGCACTCCAAATAATAAACTTTTATATTTGATTTAGCAACTATGAATATTAAATCTGTATCATTATAGAAAAGGTAATACAAGTAATCTTTATAAAATCTGCCTCCCTCTTCTTTATAACAATTTTCAATTGAGTGAATTATGTCTCTGTGCATTAATATTGCTCCCATAAATATTTAGTATATGTTTATATATATGTATATACACATACATATATACATTAATACATGGCCACCAGTTGCATTTGTTAGCTATTTAAAGGTCGTTCCTCTTCACTTTAATGAAATTCAATGTCAACATAGCAGACTTATGATATAATAGGTGTAAACTGAATAACAACTAAATGAGCTAACACATACATACTAAACCGAGGAGGCAATGAACAAAAGAAAGATGACTTGAAAGTTATGCAAAGAAAAATTAAAAATGCGAAATAAAAATAAAACACGGTTGGAGAAGCGAAGATAGTTAAATAAACAAAAGCCACTAGGCCATATGTGAATGTGTAGCGAAAATATTTAAATGGGTGCCTGGCGGACTCTTGCTGAGGTGCGCAGTTTTGCTCAGTAGATCGTAAATTGGTATACAAATGTACAAATGTATGTATTTAAAATCTTAATATATATTAAATGTAGGTACACAGAAAAGCTATTTAACTGTTCTTAAGTGCGAATAAAATGTAAACATTAGGGTGGTCGTTTTTTTACGAGAATTTATAATTTCCACTGGTGCAGGGTGGTGGCGGGAAGTAAGAAAGCAAATTCAGGTGTGTTTAGGAATTAAACACTATAAAGCTAATGGTGATAATGATTTTGATGTGATTACAATGATGATAATGCTGATAAAGATAATGATGAATAAATCATAATGAATGATAAATGATGAAACGATAATGATGATGATAATGGGTGGTGATAAATTGATAAAGATGATAATGTTACGGTACTGAGGATTAAAATAATTATATTGATGATGAACTTAAATCATGACGATGCTCATGATGATGACGGTAACGTTAATGAAATAAATATAAAACTCTAAAGGTTTTGATTTTTGGGTGGAGGAATTTATTTGTTTGTGTTTATTATTCCTAAAATTTAAGTTATGGTAAACTCTCACTAGTTTTTTTCTATATAAAAATAATACTTTTACTGTTTTGATGGCAAAGTAATAATGGAGAAAAAAACATTCCGATACATTATTGTGGAAAAGTCAACATTATAGTGAAAAAAGTTTGTCAAATATTTTGCATGAAAAAAGAAAACTTTTTTGGAATCTTTATTTATATTATGGTTCGTTTAAGATTGAAGATAATATGATATTTTCTCACAGTAATCTATCAAGTTTAAGTTATTTTAGAAACTAAAAAAAATAATTGACGGCAGACCAAATCGTACAAAAATAGATTTTTAAAAATAACCTACTGAAATTTTTAATAAATATCTCAAATCATTTTTGAGTTACAGGCTTCTAAGATATAGCCGCTTAGTTCAATTAACTCCATTACTTTATTTTTAAACGCGTTTTACTCGAAACAGCGTTTTATAAATTTGTTTAAGTGTTTACTCGGAGAAAATTTATTTGATCCCTATCACAGTTTTTGCATGTTCTATCAAATAATCTACCAGTTTTTTGGTCTGATCAAAAATCGAATTTTTGCCGGCCAAAAACAACAAAAATTTTGAGTAAAATTCAACTTTTTTGTTTAGAATCGCCGCCAATTTACATTTTTTTATTTTTTTCCAACTCAAAAATTATTACATTTTTCTTCTAAAATTTCTTAAAATATATTTAGTATATCCTAAAAATTTTAAACCAATTCTTAGAAAATGTTTTTCTTACTTCCCGAAAATCGCCTTTGTATAGGCTGTCATACCAGGTTGCGCCTCAAAGATGAGTAACTTAAGTTAACATATTTCTAATACTTAAGATTTATATATGCCATACATATGTATCTTTGGAGATTAAAATGAGATCTGAGTAATCTTTTTGGAGACTACAAAAATTTAGCTTAAATAATTTTAAATCACAAAATGGAAAATCAACGCGACCATCCTAAAATATATGCACGCTTCTATTTGAACTTATTTAGTCATACATTTCTTATAGCACTTAGACTAACGGCCGGCTACATAAGAGCAGTTAAAGTTGCTACACTAGTAAGTACATGCTTATGTAATTAAATATTTATGTGTGTAAAAAGCGCTGACCACTTGGTTCTGTCTGCAACTTTGCTTGCAGTTTATCTTTTCAATTAGCAGAATGGGTGTTTCGCTAATAGACTGCAACACCTACTTGGCACAGCTATTTTATTTATATGTGTCTGCATGTCTGTAATTATGTTATAAAAGTAGCTAGCTGACAAATTAAGAGTTCTGCAGCAGCTCAGTAATACATTTGAAAAGCAAACTAGCCTAATGCAAACATACTTGTAAAAGCAAAGAGTTAAGTAAATGGTGGGCTAAGTAGACTTCAAAAGGCTTTTAGAAGAGGTATTAGCGCCACTTGCGAATAAACAAACTCTAACAATATGAAAGAAGGCAAAATATAATACACATATGTATGTATGTGTGCTAAGGCAAAAAATGGAGTCATACGGAAGTCGAAAGGTACGCACAGCGCTGTTTGTTGATATGTATAGGTTCATGTTAGTATCTAGAGTGTGTACTCACTCAATTAAAGTTCCTAGTTAAGTACTATTATGTGCTTGCATTATTATATTTATGTGTAGTACATAACAACGAAGCAAATTTGAGCGTAAAACAAAGGGTATTTTTTTACAGCTATAGAACTTTTATTTTGAATTTAATACAAACAAGAGAACTTCGGCTGCATTGCAGCTATAATATCCTTCGTAGATGCTTTTTTTATAGCATTCGGGGGTATAAAAAGATCTTTATCTCGATTTTGCGACAAATAACAATTTTTATGGCAGTTATGTAAGTATATGCCATTGTTTTCCGTGCTGAACAATTTATTCGGAGATTGCAGCGCTGCCTTAGAAAATAGTCTGCGGCAAATTTTGTGAAAGTATCTCGTGAAATAAAAAAGTTTTACCCACAAGGACTTGAGCGGGATCGGTTAGTTTGTTGGCAGGTATATGTTATATTGGTTCAATATCGGCGAGTCCGACAAATGTGCTCATTCATATTCATTGAATTTGAGTACGAGTTGCACTGATCTGAATTCAGCTTTACTGATCATCTCACCATGTCCTATGTCATTCATATGTATATAAATTTATGTATAAAACTAAAAACGAGCAAAAATTATTGATGTTGAACCAAAGTTAGACTTTGAGCAAATAATTTGAAACAATTCTTGGAGTTAAAAAAATTTGCCTTAACTCTTTTTCTTCATATTCACACATTTTATTACCACCTCAAAGTTCGTAAGTAATTTGTTTTAATAGTGGAATTAAGTAAGTTGAATGACTCGGCTAAGAACAAAAAAGTAGAAAAATTTCATGGGAACCAACCTACGTACAGGCATGCATACACATATTAGAACATACATATATATATAAGAGAAATAAAGTATACCAATGATATAAATCTGACCTTTTTGCGCCAATTTATTTTCATGTGAGTTCTGGTCGAAAACTAGTATCATTTAGACCAGCACGGTTTCAAACAACATTTTCTATTTAGTTATAAATTGGTTGGTCTAGTCGTAGTGAAAATAATCTC